TTCTTTATACACAATCATGAAACGTAACACTTCTAATTAGCTGAGACAGAGCATATCTTTGAAGATTTCAAACTTTGAAAGGGAATCTGTATTAAATATTGTATAACGATGAACTTGGTTTTGTTTGTGTCTTTGCGTACAAATATTGGAACGATTAGTATTTTGCTTTTGTTAAAGAAGTTCGAATTCAATATATAAAAGACAAAATGACACTGTTAAGCCCATATACTATATGCTTTAATTAATATACCGGTAGTTTAATTATTTGTCGTGATGAAGTTGAAGCCAATTTTTTGGCCATGTCTTTTTTGTTTTTATTCGTAGGTATGGACGAAGAACTTCCGAAACTGCTTTTCGAACCTGGTTTTGTGAATGATATTGACAAGATCAACAATCGATGCATTCTTAACACAATGGACCCCGTTAAGAAAGCACTTCCAGTCGAATACAAAAGAGTTCTGCTAGACCCTGTCTTTGGACCTATTTTGTCGATTATCGAGAACGACATGGGATATTCAGGATGACTAATCCATAGCTTTCTGTGTAAGGAGCTCATCACTAACAAGAAACACGAGCTATGGTTCGTGTTTGCGGGGAGACCTCTTCGATTTTCTCTGCAAGAATTTCATGCGATTACTGGACTGAACACGAAAGACGATAAGACTTGTGATTTCAGTGATTGGGTTGATGATGGCGGGTTCTGGAGTAAGTTGTTGAGAAGCAAACGTGGAATTACTTTGGCTAACATAGAAGCTGAGTATCTTGGGCGTGTCAACAAATGGACTCGTGAAGACAGGTTGCGGTTAGTGTACTTGTATGTTATTGCTTCTCTGGTAATGGCAAAGAGCAACAAGACCATTAATATCCCAAAAGAATATATCATTCTTGTTATGGATCTGGAGAAGCTACGGAAGTACCCATGGGGACGTGTAGCGTTTGATTTTCTAGTGGAGAGTATCAAGAAAGTTCGTGTGAAATTGACGCAATCTACAGGCTATGCACTGAATGGCTTCTCAATAGCTTTTCAAATCTGGATCATGGAGGCAATTCCCGTTCTCGGACATATGCTGTCTTCAAGATTGGACGATGTGATCGCTGGTGTTGCTAGATGCTCTAAGTGGAATGGCATTAGCTATGTGAAAATTTCAGATATTAAGCATATCGAACATACGTTTTGCACGAAGGTGATTTCTGATTCTTTAGCGGTTTTTTTTTTTTTGCTTTGTTGTATTTCCATGCTAATTGTCCCATTTTTTGTTTTTACAGGAGAAGCTCTATCACTATATCTCTTCCACTGGGAATGATGATGTCGTTGATTCTTTGGACTATGTATGGCCTGATGAAATGGCTGACGCAAGAGTGGATCATTTTAAAACGATGATCAATGATGGAATAGATTGGAGTCACCATAATTGGGCGGTAGAAGAAGCCATACCTGCAACTCTTGACGAGAATGAGGAAGCAACAGATAAAGAGAATGAGAATGTCGCAGAAGAAAGTCAATTTAGGACACCACCTGCTGTAGGTAGCTCAGTTGCAGGTTCGAGTCGAGGAAAGAAAAGGGTCGCTGAACCTGGTGCAGAAACACGGAAGCAGAAGATGATGTGCGAGCGATCAGCTGCGAAAGCCATCGATGAGGACTTTAAGTCTTTTATCCAAGGACTTTTGCATACCTCGTTAAAAGCTTTGGAGGAGAGACTTCAGACGAAGATTGATAGTCGAGTAGAGCTGTTGGAGAAGAAAATGGAAAACATAGTGGAGATGCTTGAGTCGAAGATTATGGAACCCATCCAAGCAGGTGGATTCATTACTGCTACTCCCACCGCAGCAAAATCATTATCTGGTACGTCTCACACGTTTGCAAATTATTTCATTACTTTATATGCAAAAAATCTCATTGTATTTATTTTTCACACTCGCAGGCACAGCTGGTGACGTTCCTTTACCGGCAAAAACATCTACCAATGATGTTCCCATATTTGCAGCAAAATCACTATCTGGTACGTTTTACACATTTGCATATTATTTCATTGCTTTATATGCAAAAATCTCATTGCATTTATTTTTCACACTCGCAGGTACAGCTGGTGACGTTCCTTTACCGGCAAAAAACATCTACCAATGATGTTCCCATATTTGCAGCAAAATCACTATCTGGAACGTTTCACACATTTGCAAATTATTTCATTGCTTTATATGCAAAAATCTCATTGCATTTATTTTTCACACTCGCAGGCACAGCTGGTGACGTTCTTTTACCGGCAAAACCATCTACCAGTGTCATCCCTTTAGCTGCTAAAGCGTCAACAATTGCCGCCTCCAAATCCATAACGAGGTCAGCAGGTGCTATTCTAAGCATTGGGGAGGCTTCGCACCCTTCCAAAAAGGTAAGGAAGCGCAGAAATACTAAGACCTGATGCCCTAGAATCAAAAATAATGTCTTTTTTTAGGCTACGATGTGTTCTGTATAATATAAAAGATAATATTGTTGTTAGATTTGTGTGTGTGGTAGTATTATTTTTAAAATGTAATATGTGTGTTTAGAAACTACGCTTGAAAAATCTATTTTGTTATGTAGACTTTGGTAAACTTGAAAATGTCATGTTAATAATGTAATATGTTTGTCTCACTCATGTTGTTAATTTCCTAAGTTCCACTTTTTTTTCTCTTCGTATAATACAAGAACTATTTTGTACATTATCAGGAAGATGGAAACACAGAACTCCATGACGTGCTTCTCAGTCAAGAAATAGATTTCGACCTGGAAATGGATCCAGAAGACGCTTTACTCGCAAAAGCACTTAACAAAATTTCTCAATCATCATTTGTAGCTGATTACGATCCGACACAGTCAGAAGATGCAGATCGCCCATTGATTCATGTGTCAGAAAGCGATTGGGAAAGTGTAGAGGAGTGGTCACGGACACGCGAGTAAGCACTAAAACACTTTTTTAGTCATGTCATATACACTTTTAAATTAGAGAAAAATATTGAACTTCCACGTATTTGATTAATTAGTATTATTCTTATTTTTAAATTATTTCAGAGACTTATTAGTTGGTCCCCTCGTGTATAATATAGAAGTAGATAATCGTCTCATGAATAAACGATTGTGGTTGCGCACTCCGGTAAGTACCTTTAAAATTGATTTTCTTAAAAATCATAACGTGTTCAACTTTGCCAATGTGGTTAACCGATGTTAATGTTACAGGAAATAGATGGAATTATGTACTTATTTCGAGAGTACACTTCTTTGGACCGCTTTCCACATCCTCGTGTTGGCTTCATGACCTGTAATTTCAGCGTCACAGTTGGTGCTGCGTACAAACAATTGCTGATGAATAAAAGAAGATACCAGGTGGACCAGTTGCTCATACAATATGGATTAGGAGCGCTTCCGGCACATGGAAGAACAGACAAAATTTGGGGTGTCGACGTTGATCGTATATATACTCTGGTCAATGTCAAGAACAACCACTGGATATCTTTGTGCATCAATTTCGAGCTGAGAACAGTAGACGTTTTTTATTGCGACGGGGGCAAACACAGCCGGTACGTGGATGCATTTGCAAACATCATCCCTAGAGTTGTGAAGGAAGTTCAAAGTTACAAAGAGAAGAAGCAACTGATTATTAAACCGTACACGGTGAAGTATGTTCCGATGAGGCCTGGGATCAATAGGAGCTCATGTGATTGTGGAGCTTATGCGCTCAAATTCATTGAGTGTCACATGCTTGGACTACAATTGTCTTTGCTTAACGACGATAACATTTACGCAGCTAGGATGAAGATCACCTATGATCTTTGGAAAGCAGCACATGATCCAGTATTGATTGAGCGGATGAGAAAGTATGTGCCTCCGAAAACAGTGTGCTCAGATGATATTGTAGACTTGTTATAGGTTTGACATATTTCGTTTTAGGTGGTTCAGTTTTTTTTTTATTTGGCATCGTATGTTTCGTTGCTTGACATTGTGTTCTTGACGTAATGATTTTATGTTGCTTGATCTGATTGCTCATTTTTTTCATTGATCCAGAAAATTCAACAACACAAGGTTTTCTCGTAAAAGAAAAAATATTCTACATAAAATTTTTAGATTAGAAATTTAAAAATAAGAAAGTCGTTTTTTTGGGATTGAGGAACCCAGTAAATGCATTTTTTTGGGTTAGAAAGAAAAAACAAAAAAAAAAACTGGAACTACGTCCAGGAGGTATCGAACCCGGGTCTGAGAGAATGAATGAACACAAGGGGAACCAGTAAAGCTATTGTAATTAATCAAGAATTGTATCCTTGCAATATATCTGGAACTCCGTCCAGGGGGTATCGAACCCAGGTCTGAGAAAACAAATGAGCAGGGGGAACCAGTAGAGCTATTGTAATAAATCGAGAATTGTATCCTTGCAATATGTTTTAAGTATGTAAAGTCGTTTTTATTTAAAACAACTGAAACTCCGTCTAGGGAGTATCGAACCCAGGTCTGAGAGAACAAATGAGCATAGGGGGAACCAGTAGAGCTATTGTAATAAATCGAGAATTGTATCCCTGCAATATCTTTTAACTATGTAAAGTCGTTTTTATTTAAAAAAACTGGAACTCCGTCCAAGGGGTATCGAACCCAGGTCTGAGAGAACGAATGAGCATAGGGGGAACCAGTAGAACTATTGTAATAAATCGAGAATTGTTTCCTTGCAATCTCATACAACTTGTAACCCTGAAATTCATCACATATCGTACAAAGCATCTCTAAACTAAGTTAAACCTCCAGTTTGGCACTTAAACTTGAAAATCAGTACAGAATTTATCTTTCATAAAGTGAAAATAAATAAGAAAACCAAATAAGCAAAACGAATAACAATAAAAAAGAGATAGAGAAGAGCCTATATTGGCATGTCACATGTCCCTCTCTTATGTCCTTTGATACCACAACGACTGCACTTTTGCTTCTTAGACCGTTGTGATCCTTGGGACGCTCGTATCTTGTCTTCCACACTTTCGTATCGTCATTTTTTCCTGCGTCCTGCTGCTCGTCGCGATTCCGGTTCTACAACTTTGGCATGTTCAACATGATCAGGGACACACCAATCATCCTCAGGACCTGCAATTGGATTAATGCATTCCTCATAAGCTGTTCTCCATGCCTCAGTAGTGTAATAATGATTGGTGAGAGTGTGTATCTGCTGGTTCACAGAAAACGCTGCTTTAATTGCATGTCGACACGGAATTTTAAGCAAGTCGTACTTGCCACATGAACAAGTTCTTCTGTCCAAATCAACAAGACAGTCATATTTGTCACCTCTGACCAAAAATCGATCCTGGCTAACTGGGTAAACAATGAATGTTTTACCCTTATCAATCCTTCTCTCGATCTTCGTCTCAACCTCAACTGTTAGAGGAGCCTGATGCTTTGAGCTAAGTTTTTTACGCTAAAAAAACCAATTGGTTAACATTTCTCTGATGCTGTCGAGTAGAGGAATAACTGGGTACTCTCTAGGAGTTAGCAATTTATTATTTATCGACTCAGCTGGGTTAGTGGTTCTAACATCGTACCTAAATCCGGGGAATTTGCATCGTGCCCATTTCTCAACACCAGCGTCCTGAAGATACTTTCCAACAGCTGGACTAATAGAACAAATGGCAGCAAACTTGGTATCAAAAGCAGAAACTCTGTACTCTTTAGAAGCCTTCACAATCAAACCAGTCAAACCCTGTGTCTTGAAAAATGTTATCACATTATTCAGCAAGTGGTGGATACAGATACCATAGCTAGATTGTGGGTACACTTTCTCAAGTGCTTTAATTACAGAAACATTTCTATCTGACACAAAAGCCAAACGCACCTCATCCGCAATGACAACTTTTAGTTGCCTCATAAACCACTCCCAAGACAGGTCGTTCTCTGAATCGACAACCCCAAATGCGATCGGATATAAGTTCGAGTTGCCATCTAATGCTGTAGCAACGAGCAAAACTCCTTTATATTTATTTTTCAAAAATGTCCCATCCACAACAATCACTCTGCGAATAGCTTTGTAAAAACCTCGCACTGATTGACCGAAAGAGAGTAACAGAAACTTGAAACGTCCAGTAATGTCAGTTTCATACTGCGTATGGGTCCCTGGATTCGCTTCTTTCAGCATGTGCAAATATTTAGGAATTTTGGCATAGCTTTTCCCGGGAATGCCTCGAACAATACTAATCGCATACTCACGTGCTTCCCAAGCATGGTCGTAAGAGATGTCACATCCATGCTCTGTACGAATAAAATGAATTATTTCTCTAGGGCTAGGTCCTGCATTAGCACTCTCAAACTTATTCTTAATCAGATTACCAATAGTTTTTGCTGAAGCTGTCCTACCGACTACGTCTTTATTAGAAGGAGCGCATGTATGTTGAGCGACATACTGATGTTTGACTTGATGTGTGATGTCGAGGGTTGTCAAGTTTTACCCTAATTGAAATCAATAGCCGCAAGTGCACAGCTGATTGATTGTAGTACTTAGGGATCGAATCCACAGGGAATGAGGATTTTTTCCTGCAAAAAGCCTTTGAAATAAGTATAAAGTAAGGAAGTCTAGAACCAAAACGGTTTTGTGGGGGGTTTGGTGGTGAGTTTAAAATGTAAAAACGAAATCTTAAAAGAAAATACGGGAATTAAATGGCGTAATTACTAAACTTAACGAAAATAAATAAAAATGCAAAAAACGGATATTCTAATGCTTAAATGAAAATCTACTAAAAAGGAAAGACAATATTGAACTTAAGCCGCGGTCAGGACTACGCGACCGCGGTCGAAGGGGTGTTTCCCGCGGTCCGAACACCTGCGACCGCGGGGGCTTATTTCGCGGCCTCTTCTTGCTTCTCCTTGGTTCCTGCTGGGCCGAGCAGTCAGGTACCATCCTTCTTTTTGGTTTTTTCTGGTTTTTTGACTTTTTTGGCTTTTTTGTTTTATAAGAAACACCTGAAACTAAGATAAAGAAAAAGATCAAAAGAAAAAGAAAGAAAAATCCTAAAGAAAACAATACCTAAATGGGTTGCCTCCCATTAAGCGCTTTTGTTTTAAGTCGTTTAGCTCGACTTTTGGTATTGGACGTTGCTTAGTCTGATGAAGAAGACCTTGTCCTGAGACAAGTATTTTTCGACATCTCCTTGCTTTGCTTAGCAGGTTCTTCGTCACTCCAAATCTCTTCTTCAAACTCTTCTGTTGCAGGACGTTTTCCTGCTTTGCTGTTGTATAGAACAGCTTCTGTGAAGACATCTTTGTCGATATTAGCAAATGAAATCCTCCGGTTTGGCCAGTCCATTATAGCTCCGGAAGTTGCTAGAAAAGACCATCCCAGAATCACTGGATATGTTGCATCTCTCGGCTCGACAATGTAGAAGTCGACAGGCACTATGCAATCTCCTATTCTCAAAGGAATTTCATGAGCTATTCCTTGAGGTGTTGCATTTTAATCGTCAGCTAGGCTAAACTTTGCTCTAGTCCTGCGCAGGTGTCTAATACCAAGTCTCAAAGCAATTGCCTTGGACATCATGTTAAGACAAGCTCCAGAATCACATAGCACGTTTTTAAACATTTCTCCTCTAATAGAACAAGAGATAAGAAACTGACCTACACCTTCTATTTTGTGAAGTGTTCGAACAGGTTTACCTCTTCTGGCATGATTGAACAAGTCTTCTATCTCAGGGATTGATTCTTTGCTCTCACAGAAGTAGTGGCCTATCATGAAGTCCTTGCAAGCTCTGGCAAATTTCGAACCACATCATTGAATTCGTCGAGCTTTTCTTTGCTGATTTTGTTGGTGTAGTGGCTGCAGTCTCTCGGATTTTTGAGGTGAATCGCATAGACAGCTGCTTCTGGTGTTGTCATGTATCGAGCTCTCATAAAGTATCTATGGATATCCTCTTTAGACTCCTTGCAGTACCTGAAAAAGACTTGCAAACGACCAAGTTTCCAGATTTCATCAAAGCTTAAATGAGCAGGGAATGACCTGACTACGTTGTTGAACTCCATTAGCTTCTCTCTACTGATGTTGTTGGTGATCCATTGGATTTCTCCTGAGCCATCTTCTGAGGAATATCCTGCGTTTGGATCTTCTACTAACAATCCATACTCTTCATCTTCAGAGTATTGTTCTTCATACTCATCTTCACAAGACAATGCCATGTTGCAAGGCCATGACTTGTCCTCTTCTTCAGATCTTTGGGTGCTTATGGAGCAAACCAGTTGTTGATGGAGTGGTTTAGTCATCCCAGGAGGTGTACCAGACGTACAGATGCTTGTATGAGCTGAACGGGACTGTTTTGGAACGTTTTTACGGTTGGCCTTGACTGCAGGTGACGTGACCGCGGGAAAGCGACCATGGGCCGCGGGCAGGCCTAACACGACCGCGGGAGAGAGCTTGTTGGCCGCGGTCGGAGCCGATGCGACCGCGGGGATTTGCCTCCGAGTTGCTCTGCTGCTGTTGCTTCCTCCTTTGCTTCCTGGATGGTCTCCTGGGTCTTCTGGCTTGATGTACTTCCTCCCTGGACTTGAGTCTTTAGTTTTGGTTGCTGGAATCTGCTCTCCAAGTCCTTGGATGATCTCCTCAACCTTTTTTTCAACTTCATCAAGAGCATAGACTACTTTGTCCATGGTTGAGTCAAGCTCTTCAGTTTTGTCGATGAATTTGTAAACCTTCTCTGAAACTTCGACTGTAAAGTCATAAGACTCTTTCTTAGCTTCGTTTAGGGCTTTATCCACATCATCGAGTTTGAAATCCAGGTCCATGACTTTGTTTTTGGTGTTGCGAAGCTCATAGTTGTGCTTTGCTTGCTCTTCCTCCATGCTGTTGAACCTGTTAGCAATCATAGCTGCATCTTTGGTTGCACGTTCTTCTATTGAATTGACTTGTGAGGCTAGGTTATCGATTTTTTCATTGAAAAGTTTCGATATCCCATCAATCCTTTCGTTTAGAGCAGTTGTAGAGGTTGCTTGAGCTTCTATGAACTGTCTGATCACGCATTCGAGCTGACTCAGTCTGTTGCTGAGCTGGACGTTCTCATCTTGCTGGAGAACTTGGTGAGGTAGGCGATACATATAGTATCTAGGGTTTGCCATTTGAGGTGCGTAGGGATCCTTCTGGAACGTTCCGTAGTCTTCGGGTCGAGTTTCTTCGTAGAGATTGCGTAGATATTGCTTCTCTCTGCGTTTGGTGGCTTGAGGAGTGTTATAGAAACCTTTCTCATAGTGTATATTTCGATTTATAGGATCCATATCTTCTGAAATGGAAACAAAATAACCGAAAAATGGAAAATTGCAGAAAAGGGGGTTCTAGAGTCGATTTACCAACTTTTCTCGGGGTTTTGCAGAAAAGAAAATGCGTGCCTTCCCCGGCAACGGCGCCAAAAACTTGACGTTTGACTTGAAGTGTGGTGTCAAGGGTTGTCAAGTTATACCCTAATTAAAATCAATAGCCGCAAGTGCACAGCTGATCGATTATAGTACTTAGGGATCGAATCCACAGGGAAGGAGGATCTTTTCCTGCAAAAAGCCTTTGAAATAAGTATAAAGTAAGTCTAGAACCAAAACGGTTTTGTGGGGGTTTGCTGGTGAGTTTAAAATGTAAAAACGAAATCTTAAAAGAAAATACGGGAATTAAATGGCGTATTAACTAAACTTAACGAAAATAAATAAAAATGCAAAAAACGGATATTCTAATGCTTAAATGAAAATCTACTAAAAAGGAAAGACAATATTGAACTAAAGCTTGAAAAAAAATTGGTGTAAATCAATGGGAAAGAAGGCGTTAGGGTTCAGGGAAGTTTTCTCAGGGGTACGAACGATTCAAAACATTGCTAGAGAGTAAAATTGATAAGATCTTAGCTTAAACTTTTCGAACTGGAGTCACGGACGTATGAATACGCCACTGTCGTGATCATAGACAATTATCTCTCTCAACCCTGACCAGTAGGTTTCCACTCTGGCCCTGGAAGAGAAGAGATGCATTATGTTTAAGACTCGTCCTCATTCACAAATCGCCCATAGGTAGGTTTCCACTCCTATGTTTGTTTTGCTCTCCCAAACTAGATCTGATACATGATGAGCACCTTCGTGTCACGAAGCATCTGGATCAGATTGTATTTCATGACGCTACTCTCATGCAGTAAAAACGAATTCAGAAGAAAAAGTTCTAAGATTCGGCTCAAAAGCTCATGGAATCCTCATCGAACATATAAATCCTCATCGAAAATCCCTTAATCCCAACAATAGAATGACTCAAACATGATGAACGAAATCAAAAACATAGTATAAATAAGTAGAATAGAAACCGAAATTGAAAAAGAAAGAACAAGGGTTCAAGAGAACAAATCTCTCTCTCCCTAAAACCTAAATAAAAAAAAACAATAAAAATATGAAGTAATGATAGATGATGATGAGATTGTCGATTAGGGTTCCTAAAACATGTATTTATAGTGCTCTGGACGTCACTTAGGGTTTCTCCAAATGAGGGAATCATTGTGGGCTTCAAAAATGGGCTTTTGGGCTTGGAGTTGGCTTGCCGCGGTCGGGAGTGCTGTGACCGCGGGGAATGAGTGGTTTTCCGCGTTCGGGATGCTTCTGACCGCGGGAAATGGCCTGTTGGCCGCTGGTGGAAATGCTCGCCGGCTGGTTTACGGGACATCTTGCTCTTCGCGTATCTTTTGATTGAACCGTTGGATTGCCAAGCTGTAAAGTGTGCTGGAAAGCTGATACTTCCATCTTTAAGGTCTCCAAATTTGAGCTGGATCGGACGGTGAGAAGGCCTTCAATCAGGAGTGAACTTCTGACGGTTTGACTCTGAGCTAAAATCTGGTTTTCTATCCATTTTGTTAAGCTTTTCCCTAAGTTACCTGAAAAGAGTCTTGGAACTACAAATACTAGAAAAACGTGATAAAAGTACTTAAAAGCAATTAAAAACATAGAAAAAGTATTTCAAAACGATCCATAAAAGTGGTCAAAACACGGTGTTATCAACTCCCCCAGACTTAAACCTTTGTTTGTACTCAAACAAAGCAAAAGCCTAAACTGGTTAAGTGAAAACAAAAATAGGGAATGCACAAATCTCATAGACATGAACTCCTAAACTAGGACCAAAGATAGTGCATCAATCCACAACTTAGTCTAGAAAATTCTCACCAATGCACAAGAGATACTAGTCCACTTTTTCCGTCATGCAAAACTTAAACAATTTAAATCTTGATTCCAGTCAACTAGCTCTCTACATTCATTAAGTTCAATAGTGAGTTAAATGACCTAATAACTAAACTTAACGAAAATGAATAAAAACGAGTAAAACGGATATTCTAATTGCTTAAATGAAAATGAACTAAAAAGGAAAGACAATATTGAACTAGAGCTTGAAAGAAAATCGGTGTAAATCAATAAGGAAGAAGGTGTTGGGCTTCAGGGAAGTTTTCTCAGGGGTACGAACGATTCAAAACATTGCTAGAGAGTAAAATTGATAAGATCTTAGCTTAAACTTTTCAAACTGGAGTCACGGACGTATGAATACGCCACTGTCGTGATCATAGACAACTATCTCTCTCAACCCTGACCAGTAGGTTTCCACTCTGGCCCTGGAAGAGAAGAGATGCATTATGTTTAAGACTCGTCCTAATTCACAAATCGCCCATAGGTAGGTTTCCACTCCTATGTTTGTTTTGCTCTCCCAAACTAGATCTGACACCGGATGAACAATTTCGTGTCACTAAGCATCTGGATCAGATTGTAGTTCATGACGCTACTCTCATGCAGTAAAAACGAATTCAGGAGAAAAAGTTCTAAGATTCGGCTCAAAAGCTCATGGAATCCTCATCGAACATATAAATCCCCCATCGAAAATCCCTTAATCCCAACAATAAAACTACTCAGACATGATGAACGAAATCAAAAGCATAGTATTGATAAGTAGAATAGAAACCGAAATTGAAAAAGAAAGAACAAGGGTTCAAAAGAACAAATCTCTCTCTCCCTACAAGCTAAAGCAAAAAACAATAAAAGTATGAAGTAATGATAGATGATATGAGATTGTCTATCGTTTAGGGTTCCTAAGACATGTATTTATAGTGCTCAAAACCTCTCTGGACGTCACTTAGGGTTTCTCCAAATGAGGGAATCATTGTAGGCTTCAGAAATGGGCTTCTGGGCTCGGAGATTGCTGGCCGCTGTCGGGAGGGCTCTGACCGTGGGGAATGAGTGGTTTGCCGCGGTCGGGATGCTTCTGACCGCGGGAAATTGCTTGGTTGCTGCGGATGGAAGTGCTTGCCGGCTGGTTTACGGGACATCTTGCTCTTCGCGTATCTTTTGATTTAACCGTTGGATTTCCAAGCTGTAAAGTGCACTGGAAAGCTGATACTTCCATCTTTAAGGTCTCCAAATTTGAGCTGGATCAGACGGTGAGAAGGCCTTCAATCAGGGGTGAACTTTGGACGGTTTGACTCTGAGCTGAAATCTGGTTTTCTATCCATTTTGTTAAGCTTTTCCCTAAGTTTCCTGAAAAGAGTCTTGGAACTACAAATACTAGAAAAGCGTAATATAAGTACTTAAAAGCAATTAAAAACATAGAAAAAGTATTTCAAAACGATCCATAAAAGTGGTCAAAATACGGTGTTATCACATACTTATTGATTCTGAAATACTCTGACCCTTCAAGACACTGTGCACGAATACGCCAGTTGCATGACTTCTCTTTGCAGCGGATACACCACACACGTTTGGTTGATTCCAGTACGTTGTAGTCAAAATTATACTTCATCGCAGAAATTTCCAAAGAAGCCTTCAACTCTGTTTTGCTTCTAAAAATTTGATCTTTCTTTACGACATCAAGCAAGTTAAGCCGAACGTTCTGCTCACCATCAACTTTTTTCTCAACCATAACGGGTTCATCAAACTCTTCCTCAACTTTATGGCCAATGCCTCTAATATCATCATCGCCTGACTTTACAACCTGATCGTTTTTCATACAGCTTGAATCAGAGGCTTTCATCATCAATTCGATGTTAATCGGAATCTCAGGATGTTCAACGTATGCAGTGAATGTCACACACAGATTTACCGAGGTTTTATTCCTAGAGTACCCAACAAAATTTTTGAGCTGACGATCATTAGCGATACTCACTGATGGAGAGCCTACAGTATCAATCAAATCACTCGGTAGATAACTAAATTCAGCTTTGTGATCGACTACTCCATAGTCTTCTAGAACCATTGTTTCTAACTCTGCGAGAGTCGTATTTGATTCAACAGCAACTAACCTAGCTCATTTTTCTGCATCAGCCACAAAAATCCACTTCTTATCTGTCTCTGATTTCCATGAACCACAAGTCACATAGATATGTAGCATGTTTGAAGCAGAAAATATGTAATTTTAGGAAAAATCTGCTTGATCAATGTGAAAGAAGAAGAAGAGAACGATGACAGCCAAAAAAAGGAAAAAAAAACGTCGCTACAGCATTAGTCTTAAAAAAAACGTTGCAAATTAAAAAAAAAAGATTTTCGAAATTTTTAAGATCTGGAAGTTAACTAATTTTCCTAGATTTTTTCAGATTTTGGTAGAAGATGTATTCTACGTTAATGTAGAATGCAGTCTAACAGGTAGAAGATGCATTCTACGTTAATGTAGAATGAAGTCTAATAGGTAGAAGATACATTCAACGTTAATGTAGAATGACGTCTAATAGGTAGAAGATGCATTCTACAATAACGTAGAACCTGGTCTAACGGGTAGAAGATGTATTCTACTAACATGTAGAATATAGTCTATCTAGTAGAAGTTATAATCTATCAATCGGTAGAAGATATAAAGACCTATAGAAAACGACTTCTACATGCTGGTAGAATATGTGAAGAACTATAGAAATGGGATTCTACGTGGACGTAGAACATAGAACATGCATTCTACCAAGCGTAGAACGAATTTTATAAATATTTTAAAAATATTTTCTTTCCATAAATGATATACAAAAATATTTTAAATTCCTTTTTAGGTATTTTCGAAAAATTTAAAATATAGTTTCGAATTTATTTTTAATTATAACTGCCATAACTGATTTAAAATGGTAACTATGTCAAAAAGTGACAAAAAATAGAAAACATTAAGAAGACAAATGTTAATTCAATTGACATTATAAAAGCAATTCTCCCTTATATATATCCCCATTTTCTCATATACATTGTTAAAAATAAACAACAAAGTAACTCTTCTCCCTAACTGTTTCTTTGGCTTTATAAAAACATTTTCCAAGAAAATTACGTTCACTAGCTTGATGTGATGATTGTATACTGAAGAAACTATTATATTTTTTGATTATTTTTGACTCGGTATGCTCGCGTATCTCGCTTGCGTGTATGCTTAGTACACCAGATGCAATTAGATTTTATTCTCTCATATTGCATGCTGCTAATGTCTCGAAAAAATATATTAACGGATGAAAAGACGCCTTTGACAGACAATTGTTGTCATTTAAAATAAAACCTATAAATAAATTAATCTTTATTTTAATAATACATATTCAATGTTGTATGTTTCCATAAATTTATTGGGTTGAAAAAGGAAATAACTGTATAGAATGTAACGTGTATATATATGTGTTCTCTTTACTTCTTTTTTTTTTACTTTTCCTTTTGTATTCTTGACAGATAAAAAAAATGTCTGATGTTATTGATATCTCTAGGTTAGATTATTACACCACCGGCGGTGAAGTTCGTGTGCAAGTTGTTCGACTCTGGAAGAATGTAAATTTCTTTGGTGATACAATCGAGATGATTCTCGCTGACGATCAGGTATTTCATTATGTAGTTGTTATTTCTTTATATATTTCATAGGGTTGTTTTTAAAAGTAATTTTTCTTTTGGATTTTTACACTTGATCTTATGCGAAATTGATCTTAGGGTCATCATATTGCCGCAACTGTCATGCCCGATGAAATCGCTCTGCATGGACCTATACTTAAACAAGGTTACTGGTTTAGGGTTCGTCTATTCATTGTTAAGAAGGCCAGTGGTTCGATTTGCATAACTGTAAACAGGCATCGGTTTATTTTCGCATCTCATACGGTCGTGATTCCTATCTCTCCAGTAACCCATAATTTACACTTGCATCTCACGCTTCTTTGATATCGTGACTCGCGGATTAGATTTTGAGTTTTTAATTGGTAATATTGGTAACCATCTGTTAGTTTTAAGACAATTTTAGTATAATATATCGTTTTGTTAATATCACTTTTTTTTGTATCCGATATAGATGTAATGGGAACCGTGTTGAAGATGGGTGATCTCTGTGAGATCAACAGCGATGCTTATGAGGATAATGCAACATATGTTCGATTCGAGCTTCTTGATGTAGGGTAAGATCTATGAGTTTATATTCATATGTCGTTTGTTTATGCAAAAAAAAAAAATAATAATAATGTATTGTTTTGGTTTTATGACATCTAAACTAGAAGAACCTTTTTGTACTATTTTAATCAATTAGGAGAGATTGTGTATTGCCATGTATCGCCCGTGGGAATTTGGCTAAGAATCTGCATAGTGTTTATCAGCGTAATCAAAGTGAGTCAGTGGTGTTTGTGCTGAGGTTTTGGAAGATGACTAATGGTCAAGGTAGGTTTTTATTCCTTTTTTTAGTATTTTAGAATAGCTAATCTTGCATTCTTCTAATTCTGATTCGTAAAATTAATGATAGGTGTTGATAAGAATTCGGTTGTCCTATGGTCTTACCCTCCTTGCTCTGATTTCCTGTGTAATCCTATTGAAGATGAGATTGACGATTTCAGGGCTAAGTAAGTATTAACTTTATTTTTTCTTTATTGACATATTTTGCTAGTTGATTTTTAGGGTTTATTGATCTAACATATCGATTTTTTTTTTGTAGGCGATACCGCCTTAACTAATGCACCATCGATGGAATGTCAATTCCTTATCTTTCTTTTTAATGTTTGTAAAAATATTATATTATGATACTTATTAAGTGATATCGGTTGTTGTTTAATCTACTATTTCGGTTTGATTCTATGCATATTGCATTATGTCTTATTTATATTATGAATGTTATGAATGATTATGTCTTATTTATATTATGAATGTTATGAATGATATCGTTATATTGTCTTTAGTGTTTAGAATAAATTTGTATATCAATGGTTTTGTAGTGTTTTGTCTTTTTTGGTGATATATGGTGATTTGAAAAGTTGATTTGTAAACTATAGTCTACTCAAAGGGCTAAGTATTCATTGCGTTTTTGAAAAAATATCTGACAACTTCTAATAGATTTGAATTGATGGATATCTATAGTTTTTGATATATGTATATCTATAATATTTTGTAGATGTATATCTCCAATATACAATAAACTTAACATTTTTGATTATATATAGATAGTATTAATGCCTAAACCGCATGTAAACGATAAACGATTGTGTCTTAACCGATTGGAGTGTAAATAAAAAAAATGTATGGATAATCAGGCATATGTCGTTATTCTTAATAATGTTCTGTCAAAAAATACCACGTGTTGGATTATTAAAAAGTATGTCAATAACATATATAATAACTGATTTGATTCTAACTCTGTTTGATGTAAACGATTTATTATGTTACACTTAAATTATATATCATCTGAGCCCAAAATTTTTATACATCTTATGGGCCAAAAAATTCTGTGTTGTAACCAAAATTCGACTCTTCCTTTAACAAATAAATTGTGATGGTCTTGGTTGATCAAGACGTTAGTCCTATAATTTATGAATATCTCGGTTATTGCCCTAATCTACTAAATTTAGTAATTAATAATGTTTTCAATATCAATCACATTGTTAATGTGTTATCTTAATATTTTCTAATTTTAATACGTATAATAATTCTTTCATCTAATTAAAGGGTTTTAAAATTCAAATAATGAGAAAAAGTCAACCAGAATTGTCAAACAAAATAAATGAAAACATCAAATGAAATCGATAGATTCAATGGCTAGGAAAAATAGGTGAGTGATAAAAAAATAGCCATCTTCAATATTGTTAAAATCATCTGTGTAATCAAGCCTGCAAGAACAAGATAAATAATGAGTCGAATATTCAACAATTTTGTTTAGGAAATTTACAAAATGATAACGGTGAACAATGCTTGCATAAAACGAGAATTTTCGACTTCAGGAATTGGAGGATCGAACAATATTTCAGAGAATTCTCGACCAGAACAAACACGTATTTCATCTGTACAATATAGAAAATTATATTAGCTACAATTGATATAAATATAAATTGATATAGTGTTGGTCGATAGAATGAGAAATAACCTCCATATCGACACACCTCCCAAAATCTCAATACACAGAAAACGATTTTGCGACGAGGAGTATTTTTCCATAAGGACTCAAAATGTTCAGCATCTCTTCCCCACGCTATGCAATTGATGTCGACACCCCTAAAAACCAGAATTAATATATCATTTTCCTTAACATCGAGAATATGATAGTAAAGATTTATGTATGTATTAGTCTTTGTATCAATGGATTCTTACTCGAAATCTCTAATTGTAAATTTTAGAACACTTGAGTTGATTCTCTGATTTCCGATCCAAAATTGGTCTTGACGTTCCAATTGACAAACTTTGATAATACCTCCGATTCAACTAGCATAAAACAATATATTCATATAATTAAGTAGAGTATTAATTAATCTAATTGAGTATAATAAAATACTAAGAAAACATACCAACATCTATGTTTTCCATCAGAGATTCGTCAAGGACACTTCTAAAATTAGCAAATGAATACAACTGGTCATCTGATTTAGGCGATGTCTTCTCAACATGAGTATCCTCATCGATACAGATATGGAGACCATTGACTGTAATCCTCGAATTTCCCGTGTGTGGAGTAATTTTGAAGTTACCAATGAAGTACCAATCTTTATCACACATCATGCCTTCATAATGGTCTACTAAACGATTCGGAATCGATGCACGTATTCAATCACCCTAGATTTTCAGTTAAAAAATAATGATGGTATTGATAATATATTAAGATTCAGACAGGATGTTATTTTTGAAGTTATACTTACATGTTCGTCTGCGAATATAAACGATCGCTGAATACCGTGAACACCTAGGCTTTCCTCGACACTCTTGATAATTTGAATACAGATAGAAGATCGATCAGACGCTATACCTAAATCAGAAATCATCATTCAAGGAGACATTTTTTTCAAAAAT